GCCCATAAACCTGTTTGTAGTCTTCTCCTGTTCCCCTTCAAGTTTGTGTCATTAGAAACTACAATTACTGTCTGCCCAAAGAGAATACTTTTCAGGAAAGAAAATAAAATTGAGATACTGTGATCCCTTTCCTTTTTGTCTCCTTCCTTTTCAACTTCTCTTCGGGAAGGGAATGCCAGACAATGGCTGATGTGAGGAAAACCAGCTCATGGAGAAAATATTTGGTAATTCTCAGGTTTTATACAGAAATATTATTCTTTCAAATAACAGATATTTTAAAAAGTGAGAAATGATAATATTCTTAAAATCAAGTTATGGTCTTAAATAATCAGTAAAATATATTCTATTGCAGCCAAACATACTCCATAAAATATATGTAAATTTAATATATCTCTATCCACTATATTTTCTATCTGCTGTCGAAAGAACCTCAAGGAATTATCCAAGCCTTTTAAAGTCACTCATGAATTTTGCTTCACACTGTCTCCTAGGGTAAAAGTACAAATAGATTCTTGTCTTTGCATCTCAATCCTGTAAAATTCAAAAAAATAAACAAAACCCTGGCTGCAGACTCCCAAAGTCAAATTTTGGTAATGATTTTTCCAACATTAAGAAGTACTTTCTTAGTGTTACACCACCGCAAAAATTAGAGAAAGGTCAGAATCCAGCCCAGAGAACTGAAGTGTTTTTTTAGCATGTGTCGTGATAACAAGGTAATATGGTGGAAAAATCCACCCAGCTCCACCAAACTGATCTCTTTCTCACTGCTCAGGTGATTCCACAGGCAACTCCTGCTTCCATCATTACTGCTAGATAAAAGTGAACCAAAACATTATGATCAGCTGAAGTCTGATGAAAATTTTCTGGATGCTTTTGGCATTAAAAGACAGCAAAAAAGTATGAAAGCAGACTGTGCTTGTGCTAACTGAGAGTTCCCCATGTAGGTTCAGGCTCATGCATTTCAGACATGCCTTTTTCTTTTTACTTTTCCTGCCTTTCTCATCTTTATTTTCCCTATCTCTGTTGTGCCAAGAAACCAAAGTGAGCATCAGCAGATTAGTGAGCGAGTTTCCAGTAGCACCTTATGCCAAATCTCCACTGGCTGTTTGCAAAGGCTGCTTAGTGGCTCCTCAGCTGGCTGCCTGCTGGCATTTCTACTGACACCTCTCACAGGAGTTCCCAGCTCCGGCTGCCAGAGCTGTTCACGCATGTGCAGTCCCTGCATGTGGCAGCCCCTCCACATGCACTGGAAATCACCTGCAGAAGCAGAATAAACTCTGCACCAGGCTCCCAGGACGCCTGGCTCACGGAACCAGCTACATGTTCTTGAGCCTTGTGAAGTGCAACTTAGTTGTGATGAACAGGCGCGCTGTATAGAAGCGACTCCTGCGTAGTGGCAGCCCAGAACTCAGCAAGATCAAAACCCAGAATCGCCATGTGCATCCACGGCTCAGCCTGACTGTGCTCATGTCATGGAAAGCAGCCAGGGTGACAGCAGGACAGCTGGGCTCTCAGCAGTGCTTCCCTGCAGCTCAGCGCTTGGGGAAGAGCACCTAGCCACGGCGGTATGGAAATTCTGTGCCTGCCTGCTCCTCTCAACTTGGTGCAGGAACCAAGCACAGAAGAGTTTTTGCAGCACTGGTTACTGTCATGCTGGAGGAGAGGAGCTCCGCATAACGGGAAATCAATATACTGAGACTTCAAAGGCATTGAGGTTCCCTGGAAATACAGAAAAACTCCATACGAGGGGTACAGAAAGCCTAAAAAATTTGTCAATTTCCACAGACCTAGTGCTATCACAGAATTTAATAGAGGAAGCTGCTCATCTGCAGCTCCGTAACTCACACAGCTCCCCCTCCTTCCCAGCCAGATGAACATGGCTACGACAGAAGTGTAACAAATTTTCATAGCAAAGATTATATACCCTGGCTGAGACAAGCTCAGATCAGCCTGTCCAACCTACCAGGTATGCGGAAGTTTGACAAATTACAGGGACATTTACCCTGTTCCTCTTGGAAAAGGACTGCAGGACTGTGTTCATAGATACAGATTTCAGTCTGTCTTACTACTTTTCAGAAAGAAATTTAGAGATAAATTATATAACATTATATTATCAAGTACTGATAATTTACTGTACACCAGTCCACATACAAAGCTTAACACCAAAGACTGTATTATTTGTGCAATTATGTGTACATATATACATATACACATATATAAGCAAAGCTTTCAGCACTGAGAAAGTATCTCTGAACACTAGTTTATACACTGAGAACAAAGGAGGTCTATAATCTTCCAGGTCTATATCTGTAACTACCTAAAAATCAGGTGACTGGTCAAAGCCAAGCAAGAGCGATAAGAGCCTCCAAATTGTAATTTATCCCATTCTAAGGTAGGTGACTAAAACGGGTGAGATGAATCACCCTGGCAATGCCATCAAGCCTGTGTGGGAGGAGGTGCCTTAGATGAGTAGCTTAGAAAGGATACTTAACTTCTAACAGCTAATGTTAAGAGGAATGCATGCTATGAGCCTAGGAAAAACTATATAGCTTTACAGTAGCTTCACAACAGCTTCACTTGCAAAAATTTCACATTACAGTTAAATTATATTTGAGTTTATGAAGAAGGTCAAACCTTAAACTCTCTAAGAAAAAAAGTCTTCTTCATAGAAGTTGTAGATCACTCTTTGACTCTATGACAGACAGATTTTTTGTTTCTAAATGAACATGGTTTGTGCAGTCAAATTCTGAGTGTTAAGGAATTATTTGTTGCAAGACAGCTTATTTTATTCAAATATCGGAAATAGAGACAGAAATACATTTTAAAAAAAAAAAAAAAAAAAAAGCTTAAGAGATTTTGTGGCAGACAGTTATCAAGCAAAGGACAGAGCCATCAGTGCTGGCCAAAAGAAAAGGCCAAAACATGTCATCACCCCAGAGAACAAATATGAAGCCTTACGAGCCATCTTGAGGCACAAACCCTCAATCTCCCTGCTCTACTTCATTCAACACCACAGAGACAATATATTTTTTCTAATCAGTTGTTCTTCGGTGGTGAACGAACACTTAGCAATGTGACCAAAGAGCACCTGATTTAAAGTAAATATAGACCTAAAAAAATCATCATAGTCTGATCTCTCAAAGAGTAACACATGAGTACACTCAAAGAGTACACATGAGATTTGCCATTCAACACGTTGCTGTGGCTAGGGGAAAAGATTTAGACATTATCTGTCAGCACCATATTTAGTTTTTTAGCTGATAATAAGTAACTGTTACAACCACAACTGAAACCTCAGCCTACGCAGTATTTCAAATTATGTGTTCCTCTAAATGCAGCTATAATCCTGTCATGCTAATAATCCTACTGAAAAAAAATCAAAATGGTTGAGGTGAGGAGCAAAGAGCTTTCATTTTCTTGTCAGGTCATTACCATTTCACTCTATCTAATTCCTGGAGTTTTGTGCTGCCCTCCAGTAATTCAAGTACTGAGAAGGCTAGAGAGATGTAAAAGGGTTGTAAAACAGAAACGCAGAGAGACCCCACCGAGATCAACAGGGCACACTCCTGACCATAGCCTGCTGCACATACACAGACACAGAGCAACTCCAAGACTGAGTTCAGAAAAGCAATAAGCTTAACGCATCAAAGTGTATATTTAAATGCCTTGCTTCAAGAGGACAATCTTTGTGTGGGTTCTCCTACAAAAACTGCAACCAACAGAGATAGAGATACTGCCAGGCACTCTGCCAGATCAAAATCTGCTCCCATCAGCAAGCTCTAGGTGAAAAGACAGGCTTGAGTCCTTACACCTAACAATTCAGCTTTCCCAACCATTCTCAACAACCTTTGAATTTTGCTTTTCTGAAAAATGAATCTGAGGGAAACTTCCCCAAATTCCCTGTCCTTTACTCCTACAGAATTATTCTTTTTTTTTTTTTTTTTAATACAGACTAGCGCTACTTGACCTGCAGTCTGTCTATTATTTCATTTGCTAGAAATGAACAGCTATCAAGATTAAAACCGAGCAAATGTTTGCTCACATATTAAATCATTACATATCTAAGGCAAAGATTTTTAAGACCTAAGAACAATTTTACAGACTACATCAATATAAGAAACCTCAAATATTTCACACCAACAAATGTGCACTGCAAGCACTTCAAAAGCAATGATATTAGCAGATGCTGGGTGCACATCTGGGGCCACATCAGCAAGCAGCGCAGCCCTCAGGATCTCTAATTCAGAGGATACTGTCCAAACAGTGTAGTAATTCTGTACCAGTCTTTAGTCCGCCCATCTAGGATGATATTAATGCACTAAAAGAGTCTTAGCATTTCTGAGGAATAACAAAAAGGGGGTTGATGGTGAAGGAAACACCTCTACTGAGTAATTTTAACTTGAGCTTTAACTTACATAGTTAACCTTTAAACATGCTAATATATCTCAAGCATTTCCAGTGAAAACTGGGGAGATAAAGATGATTAAAAACTTCTTTGTGTAACTGTGGCACTGATTTAAATGTGTTTATCCTCTTTTCCATCACTGTTCACTTTATCCACTTCATACCTAAAACACCCTGTGGCTCCCCATATACATGCAGACACTCCTGCCAACTAACATGGTTTTAATCTGGCACATACAAACCTTTTCAAAAGAACTGAACTACTCAGGTCTAAAATTATGCTTTGCTATGTAGCTGGATCCTGGTCCAAACAAAAATATTTATTCTGATATTTAAATTCATTTTCAGATTATTC